CAGCCTAGGCGCCCAGGACCGGGCGAGGGCGGACTTGCAGCAGGGGCGCCTCCTGCGGGAGAGCGGAAGACTGCGACCCCAGGCTTCTGGAGGAGCGAGAAGAAGGAATTAGGACCCTGGGCGTTGTCTGAAGGAGGATGAAGGGCTGGTTGCCTTTGGCTTTCGGGATGGGGGTCGGAGTGGGTAGCAAGACTAGGTGCAGGAGGAAGGAGCACTGTGGCCCAAGGCGCCCCCTGCTGGGACACTGGGGGACGAAGTCTTAGGGTCTCTCGTTCGTGTAAGTGAAACTGCGCCAGGGCGACCCTTCTTAGGGAAACTTCGGGTCTCTAGCCTGCTGCGCCTCCTGTGGGGATAGAATGACACCGAGCTTCTGTTCCTCGGTCTCTTAAGTGAAATCCAATCCATTCACATCAAATCAAGAAAAGCTCCGAGTCCGGGCGAACCCGATTGGAGCCTAGAGGAAGTTCAAGGAGTCCGGGTTTTACTGCGGATTCTTTGGCTCTAGCTCCCAGCTGACAAATCAACATCTCAATCTGACAATTAGTGGTCGAGGTGGGGGGAGAGGGACTCTAGCCGCCCGGGCCGCTTAGCCCTCCCGGCAGGAGGCAGAGAGGTGGGCGGTGCTGGCAGTGATGAACGACTCCGGGGGGGTCTGGGGCCCGGAGCGCGCATTCATTACTCGACTGACAGGCGGGCGGCGGGCCGCGAGGGCTGCGAGTGGACGTGCTGGGGAAACAGGCCAGTGGCAGGAGGGGGAGTAAGGGAGGCGGTTAACAGTCCCACCGCTCGGTCAGCTTGGGGTCCTTCTCTTCGACCCTGGTACTTGACTTCCTTGAGCTCAGTCTCCCAATTGCTGGAGCCGGCCCTGCCTGCAGAAATTTGGAAAGCAGAGGCCGGCCATAGACGCTCTCCTTGCGTTATGCGATTTAAGGTCTGAGATGTCAAGAAAGGATGTACTTAGATAGGCCTTAGGACCTGGCGCTTCAGATTGACCTCGGAGGAATTGTGCGTGATTGTGCACTCAGAGACGGTGTGTGTGACAGGGATTGATGAGTGTGGGTCGTGCGTGGGGATCCGTGTCTACGTGTGTCAGTGCCAGGGATGTGCCGGCCTGTTGTCAGTGGAGGTGTGAGCTTCTGGAGTCTGAGAAGGAGCCACCACCCCTCCCTGCATCTTGCGTCCCCTCTCCCTCCACACCCCCCCCCACTTGCTGTCAGCTCAGCCTCCAGTTCTGGAGGAAATGGCAGTGCGCATTGGTGACAGCCGAGGTGTGCTGCTGGGGTGGGGGGCTGATAGACGTTAACTGTGAGAGTGCTGGTCAGAACAACCACTCCCTTCTATCACCTCCACCATAAACATCATCCCTTCCCCAAGCATCTTGAGAGTAGTGGATGTTTTTCCAAGTCTGGAGACCTGGTTGCTGAGTCCTGGGGCAGGAGCAATGATTACCCGAGTCCTCTGCAGCCCACACCGAACCCATACACAGTCTCTGAGATAAGATGTGATCTCCAATCCATCTGGCCTTCTCAGGTTGCTGGTGGTCAGAGAGGAGGAAGTGAGTGTTGAGTAGACACCTGAGTGACGCTCAGGAAGCGAAGTGGGAGTCCCTCAGAGGTCTAGGAGACTTCACCTCTTTCAGGCTGGGACCATAACTTTTTGGAACTCAGGTCCAGTGAGTTGCTAGCTGACACATTGGGAAGACAGGCTAATTATACTCTACTTCTCACATGTAACTCTTTTTCTTCACTTGGCTTCGTCTCTACTCTCCTCCCCATTCTCTCTCTCTTTTAATATTTAATTCCACTTGTTATTATTATTTTTCAATTTGACCAGACAGAGACAGGGAGAGAGAGAAAGGGAAAGCAAGCCACCAAATCCAGGACTCCAATAGGGGCTCGGTCTGCCCGGGTGGAATCCAGTGCCCTTAACTACCACACCCACGGCCAGCCCCTCCTCCCCACTCTCTCCAACACGCCAAGAAGTTGAGCCTGGGCTCTTCCTCAGTCCCCAGTCACCTGGGTCTGCAGAGCAGAGAGCTGGGGTGACTGTGGGTCGCTGGCCTTTTGCTCAGGGAGTCTTTAGGGGACTTCTGGCTGCCTTGCTCTTCCTCAGGGCTAGGGCATCTCTTGGGACCTGCCTGTGTCTGCACTTTTCTTGGGGTGGCAGGTTTCCACGTCTAGGGCTCCCTCTCAGTTTTGTACCCTGCATTTTGTTGGGGTCTCTCTTTGGTTTCTGGGAAGGGTGTTCTCAGTTCTTCTGAGAATAGCCCAGCATAGCACAGCGGCCCATGGGGCTGGGGGCAAGGGGATCAGGGCTTCCTTGCTGCCAACTCCCAGAGGCCATTTCAAACCCAAGGATGGTCACGCAGTGTCAAGGCCGGGGCACGACCCGGTCTCTTCTTATTCTGGGCACAGGCGCCTGGTCAATGCCCCGCTGTTCCCCCCCAAAGGCAAATTTGACATTTTTAAATCCCGAGCCTTAGAGGGATCGATGCGGCCCGGGGGCCCCGCCCGGGGTCGATATTCCTGATTGGGAAGCGGCCGCTCGGCGGAGCCCGCGTGTAAATCACCCCGGCTGGGGGAGGGGCGCGGATGCCTACGGCGCGGCCCAGGCGCGCGGGGCCAGGCTGGGTCCGAGCCCCGGCGGGACCCGAGGGCTATGGAAGGAGCACCGCAGGCCTTAGAGAATCCGAGAGAAGCCCG